AGCTCAGCGGTTGAAACATTGTATCTATTTGTTTCCATAAATGGAAACAAATAGATACAATGTTTCAACCGCTGTATGGAGTGAATGTCAGAGAACTGTCAGAAATAGCGGAGCTCTGCAGATACACTTAGCGGAGCTCTGCAGATACACTTTTTGCCGGCTTGGAATTCTTCTTATTTTCATCCTACTTCTTCTTCTTCTTCTTCTTCTTCTTCATCCTCATCCTCATCCTCTTCTTCTTCTTCTGAGGATGAGGATGAAGAAGAAGAAGAAGAAGAAGAAGTAGGATGAAAAATAAGAAGAATTCCAAGCCGGCAAAAAGTGTATCTGCAGAGCTCCTCTAAGTGTATCTGCAGAATAGAGGAGCTCTGTTTTGCCGGCTTGGAATTTTTCTTATTTTCATCCTACTTCTTCTTCTTCTTCCTCTTCATCCTCATCCTCATCTTCTTCTTCTGAGGATGAGGATGAGGATGAAGAAGAAGAAGAAGTAGGATGAAAATAAGAAGAATTCCAAGCCGGCAAAAAGTGTATCTGCAGAGCTCCGCTAAGTGTATCTGCAGAGCCCCGCTAAGTGTATCTGCAGAGCTCCGCTAAGTGTATCTGCAGAGCTCCGCTAAGAAATAGCGGAGCTCTGCAGATACACTTTTTGCCGGCTTGGAATTCTTCTTCTTCTCATCCTTCTTCTTCTTCTCATCCTTCTCCTTCTTCTCATCCTTCTCCTTCTTCTCATCCTTCTTCTTCTTCTCATCCTTCTCCTTCTTCTCATCCTTCTTCTTCTTCTCATCCTTCTTCTTCTTCTCATCCTTCTCCTTCTTCTCATCCTTCTTCTTCTTCTCATCCTTCTTCTTCTTCTCATCCTTCTCCTTCTTCTCATCCTTCTTCTTCTTCTCATCCTTCTTCTTCTTCTCATCCTTCTTCTTCTTCTCATCCTTCTTCTTCTTCTCATCCTTCTCCTTCTTCTCATCCTTCTCCTTCTTCTCATCCTTCTTCTTCTTCTCATCCTTCTTCTTCTTCTCATCCTTCTTCTTCTTCTCATCCTTCTCCTTCTTCTCATCCTTCTTCTTCTTCATCATCCTTCTTCTTCTCATCCTTCTCCTTCTTCTCATCCTTCTTCTCATCCTTCTCCTTCTTCTCATCCTTCTCTCTTCTTCTCATCCTTCTCATCCTTCTTCTCATCCTTCTCCTTCTTCTCATCCTTCTCCTTCTCCTTCTTCTCATCCTTCTCCTTCTCCTTCTTCATCTTCTCCTTCTCCTTCTTCTCATCCTTCTCCTTCTTCTCATCCTTCTCCTTCTTCTCATCCTTCTCCTTCTTCTCATCCTTCTCCTTCTCCTTCTTCTCATCCTTCCCCTTCTCCTTCTCCTTTCCTTCCTCATCTCCAAGGGCATTTAAATTAAAGGTACAGTGTTCTGCACTAATTTAAAGGCTCTCTGAAGCCTAGAAACCCTTTTTATAAGTTAAATTCGTAGCGAATAAATTTGCATCGAATCGGATTTCTTCCTCAAATTCGGCGAATCAGCCGAATCGAATTTTTGAATAATTCGCTCATCTCTACTAATAATGTAACATGCATTTTTATCCTGGTGCAAGTGTATGCACCTAACAATGTGAGTGAGCATTGTTGAAATGGTTTTTAATAATTAAAAGGTTTTAAAAATTTCACACTATGGTAGTCTCCCTCCATCTCTCCCTACATGTGTGAGACAATTAAAAGGAAAGAGTGCAGCTGGCCCAAGAAGAAGGCTGATGGTGGTTATCCATGATACTAAGTGCTGTATGACTCACCTGTGATAGGTAGTCATATAAATCTGGTGAGTGTTCTGTGATTATGGTGGAGGATTTCGGGAACACTGTGGCACTGATTGTGGGAAATGGAACACTTTTTTGACCATGGACACTTTTATAAGTTTGAAGGCATTGTGCATTATACTGTGAATAACTGAAAGCACTTGGGCATTTTATATGAACAGAGAGACTTTACTGAAGCACAAAGAATACTTCATTGAATTATGTTTAATTTTTATTTGAGGATATGAGGATTGAAAAAAAAAAAATATATATATATATAGTTCCACTTTATATATTTATTATGTGTTTTTAGCACTGTGCTTCTATATACATATTCTTGTTGGGATTGTTACGTATACCTTGAGTGCTAGCTGCTTCTATATATTTTTACTAGCGCTCGCCTGTATACTTTTGTTATATGCTTGTTTATTGCACATGTTTAAACAAAAACCAATAGCATTGCATAAAAAATACAATATATATACGGGCTGATATGATTAGTATTGCACTTGGTACAGAGTTATGGTGAATTAAGAGATCACATCAAAAGTGCTGTTTCACATTATTTAAATTGCTTTTTCTTTTGGGTATAGAGAGCTATGAGAGGAGAAGCAGCAGCAGCACATTGATCTTCCCCGTGAATGGCTGTTCTGGGGGAAGGGGAAGTGTCAACACAAGCCTGATCATTGGAGGAGAACAGACTACGTTCCCAGCACAGCTAGAAAACTGACCATGATGTGCTGTTATGCCTAGTGTAGTCAGTTATTAATAGCAAAGCAGAGTGACTGGAAGGAACACCAGTGATTTCACACAAAGGACGCAATACAAAGAAAACAGGATACTTTTCCACACAAGTACATGGTACAGCAGGCACATATTAGGAATATAAAAATGTTGGGTTTACATATTCTTGAAGAGCGAGTGTGTCCATGCAGCGTAAGAAGTTGATAACATGAATTATGATGCATTCTCAGACTGTTGTCACCAGTTTAATGCGATGTCATGCTTGGCTCAAAAGAAAAACATTTCAGGAAAAAAAAGTTTATACTTTTCATAAATCTGATTGTGTGAAACTCAGTTTTTGCACCTGCACTAAAAAGGGAACCTGTATGAAGTATTGAAGATGCTATGGACAAGAGGGTTATAAGAGAAGTTCACCTTTATACAAAAAATATTAAATGCACTTTTTTGCAGGTAAAATAAATGTGCATTTATTATTTTTTGTTGCAGGAGCGTGTAAACCATTAGATCGTTGGTGCCATGCAGGTTTCCTGCAGATCTGCCCGTGTATCCCGTACAGGCAAGCTGATATACTGACAAGAAGACTTAATGAACTACCACACTGCTGTTCATTGAGAACTACAAGCCTACAACTGCTAAGGCTGTCGGGATTAGTAGTTTCTCACTTACAGAATTCTGTGAATGAATGATGTGGCTGGGCAGGCGGAGCCCTGCATGGCCAAGTTTTTTTAAAAAAATTGACAACTAGCAACGGGGGTAGAAGATTCCCCGTGAGCTGTCAGAGCGGAGGGATCCGAGGCTGGTCTGATTATAACATGTTACATGTTACACCCTGAACATGGGTGTAACATGTTATGAAAAGTGAACTTTCCTTTAAAGGAGCTGAGAATGAGCAGTCATGTGAGCAGAACTCGAGATGTAATCAACCTGGAAGGAAACCATCATTTTTCCCCCCATGAATATAACAGACTGTAAACTGCAGCTGGAGAGGCACCAAGCAAAAGTGACTAGTTTAAGCCCTGTTGAGGTCCTGTCCATAATAGAGAAAGCAGACAGGGTCCAGCACACTGATGAGAATGGGACTCTGGGATGTGTTGTTCCCAACTGCTGTGAGGGGTGAGTGACTGGCATGCTGAATTTTTTATAAGAACTCTTGATTTGTCACTGATATACAAGAAAATTCCCCATTCCACCCTCTGTGGTGAATACCGGCGTACCTCAGTTTATGAATTGAATTAGTTCTGCGGGACTTGCGAAAAATTCATAAACCGAACGTGGTTCCTATAGGAATGCATTGAAAACCAATTAATCCGTTCCGGACGTCAGAAAAAAGTTTTAAAAAAGTCTTATCTGTTCAAAACTCTTTATAAAGTGTACTTTAAAGGCATAGTACTGTACAGGGACATGATAAAACAAAAATTGTAAATGCATTGAAAAACCAATTAATCCATTCGTATTGTGAAAAAAATTAGTAAACTGAGGCATTATTTTCAATGGATTTTCATTCGTAACCTGAAAATTACGTTAACCGAGGCGTTTGTAAACCGAGGTACGTCTGTATAAGTGTGTACATCCATGCAAGCTAGCAGTGGGAGACAGTTTACTGTGTGTGTGTGTTTACTTTTAAGTGGTCTTTCCTTGCACCCAGGCATTTGCAGCATCTATTTTTTTTATCACTTATGGACATTACTGGCATGCATGCACCCCTGTTCAGTATCTACCAATCACTGTGTTTCCCTGAATAAATAGTATAGAAATCTAATGCATTTTTGATTTGGGGACATTTATTACATATTTATTTTTGCATGAAAAGCACATACACAACTGGGTCTGAAAGCACTGATGGAATATACTGTATGTATGCTGCATATAAAACATTATATTATAGTACAGTAAAAGAATCATACTTTGTCTTCTGCGTACCAGGGAAATCGTGACACAAAGTCATCAATGGTGTCTAATATGGCATCAATATGAAGGTCATCCAGTTCCGTCTTCCCTGTCAGTCCTGATGATAAACAGAAAAGAAAAGAAAAACCACAATGGTTATAAATACATGCAGTCCATATATTGGGTTCAACGTCTTCAGATCTGTATAAACCAGATGCCAGTCTATGCTCTCTGAAATATGTGCAAGAACCCATTCTAAGTTAAAGGAAATCTTTTTCTATGTATTACCATACATATTTTTATGCCTGGTTGTCCCTAACATCAATTCACTCTTAAACTGATTAAGATTTTGTACTTATATCTAAAAAGTTAGACTAAAATCACAGGCTTTAATCTACATACTTTTCTTATGCTCCGAAAGCCATTGGACCAGAATGACAGACCAGGAACTTGTATTTTCAGCATGGTGGGTCAACAATGGTGGCTTCCATACTTTCTCTTTACAGGTATTCACAGTATAAAAACACACACACACGAACACATACTATATACATGATATAAATATATTTTTAGATATTATTGTTAATCATTATGCCCAATTCAGTTATGTTTTACATTACAACGAATTTACCTGCTTTCCTGGCCAAGTATCTGCCTATAGCAAGGCTCTGATAATAAACAATCCCATCAATTTCTAAAACTGGGATTTTCCCAAATGGATAAGCTGTTGGAGAAAAAAAAAGAGCACAGCTGAGCAATAAAATATAACACTTCCCTTCTTTTTCTATACCTATGATTGGATGAAAATATTTTCCAGAAGCCATGGCAAGCTTATGCCTATGGGCACTACTTTACAATTTTTTTCCATAGCCATTTAAACTATTTGAACACTGCTCAATCACAAAAAAGGTGATTGAGAAATAACAAGGTAAGCAGTACAACAGGGGCCTGGCATGGTTGGGACATAAGGCTCCTGATTTTCTGTGCCTGAAGGGTGCAGGAAAGTAAATCTGGCCCTAAATGCAACACATTAGCCTAATATAACAAAACTCCTTAGAGCAAAACCTGTCATAACAGGATTTAAATGCAAATATGGTTATTTCTGAAGCATTATTAATTGTGACACCTGTAAGATGCTTAGCACCTTGGACAAAGAGAGTGGACAATAACTCAATTGCTGGTCAATTAACTATCATGACCAAAACTACTATATCTGATATGTACAATACTGATTTTAATGTAACTGCGGTTTTGCAATTTGGTTTTCAATAAGAAAAAAAAGCAATTTCAATAAGTAAAAAGGCAGCAACTCCATTGTGTTCCTTCTACAGGTCTAAGGATAAATGGATATTAAAACTGGCTACAATAAGAACACACAAAACATCATGATTAAAAAGATGTACAGGCACATCCTAAGCAGTTATGAATTTGTTACATTGTGTAGACACACCATAAGCAGCCTCTTATCAACATTTTTCTCCTATAAATACCTATTAATGTCACCTTTTATTTCTATCTTTTGGCAAAGGATAAAAAAAAAAGCTTTACTTGCAAAATATCAGATGTTTAGCTCAGCACAATAATCTGTTGAAAACCTGTATAATATCTGAACACTTACAAGACTTGTGTTCAGGCCAGTCATTTTCTTCAATTCTGCAGTCTTCATACTCTGTATTCATATAGGCAAATAGGTAGCGAAGGAGCTCTGCCTTTCCTCTGAAATTGAAGTAGGTGAGCTTATAGATTGGCATGACTTGTTTCTGCAAAAAGTGGAATTTATTAAATACATTACTCCCCATACCTAGCTGGAATGTATTTTAAAATTGCTCTCAGTGCTGGTCATTAAAGCATAACTGTCACCAAAAGCTATTTTTTCATGCTAATGTTTTAAGTCTACATAAAGCCAAAAGTTTCTCTCTTTAGTTTTTGATTTCGAGTGATGAGGGGTCAGGTTTTTACTGCCAACTGTATCCCCTATGGATTTTCACACTTTCTAATTTTTCTGGTATATTTTTCAGCAAGGTTGAAAGTGAAGGAAAACCCCAAATTATTAGTTGTCCCCACAATGGAGAGAACATTTGTTCTGGCAACAACTTTTTAAATGGGATTTCCCTGATTTTGGAGAGATTTCCAATCACTTCCAAATAAAAGGTTTAGCTTCATATATACTTTGTTGATGAAACCCCCCCCCCCGAATGAAAAAAAAAAAAAATACTTCTTGGATAAGTCATAGATATAGATAGATAGATAGATAGATAGATAGATAGATAGATAGATAGATAGATAGATAGATAGATAGATAGATATTTTATAACAACTATCACATAATCAGCCCAAGCGTAATTAAAAAAAAGGTTTGGATTCTTTCATATGTGCAGTAAATTTGAAAGGCAATTCACCAATGAAGGAAGGCAGGAAAAGAGCCAGCTACATGAAAAGAAAGAGGAAAATTGAGCCACCTTAAAAAAAAAAGAGTTCCCATGTACAAAAAAAAAAAAGCCTCCATGATTTCAAGGATCCCGAATGAATTGTTTTTTTTGAGATTTAGAAAAACTGACTGCAGATTGGAATGGAGAAGTTAATTTTGGTAATGATAAACAAAAAAATTATGATAGCAGGTAAGAGAGAAAAAGGGATTGGTAACCACATGCAGAAACATGAAGGTATATCAGTGCATAAATATCAGGAAGCTGCATTCAGCCACATAAAGTGTTTTAAAGAATACTTGGCCTCATTTATCAGTATGTGTGAAATAAGAATTGCCTGTGTGTCCTCATTGCAATCAACAAGTTTCTAGCTGGAATTTTCCAGTGCAATTTTAAAAATTGTTACTGTGAGCAAACACATAGAACCACTGTGATTCTCAAAGCAATCAGGTTACTCCTTCCCTTTTTGACCTGTATTAGAGCAATAAATCATCTGACTGTTTGCCATGAATAGGACAGTTCTTTAAGACATACCTGTGTTACTCTACTATTTATATTTAAGCGTAACTCTGGTGAGGCAGGCATCTATCTGATCAATAGGCAATAAAAAGAAATAAAAGCCAGATAACATTTTTGACAGATTTTGATAGCCACTGGAATGGCCATCACAGCAGCAGAAAAATGCTAACTGTGGCAAAAACCAGTGTAAACAAGGTATTGCATTTAGCACTTGGACACCAAAAAATACCAAAAGCTTTTTGCAGCATTTGGTGTTTATTGGCCAAAATGTTCCTCTCCTGAACATGAGTCTTCTGCGTTCAGGACAGGGACATTTAACTGCCCCTAAACTCTGCTGCTGCTAAACTCTGATAAAAAGCTTATGTGTGCATGGACACATGGACACACAGGCTTTTGTTGAGTTCAGTTCAGGGGCTTTGGCAAAAAAAAATGCCAAAAGCTCTTAAACTCATGTATAGAGGAGCAGCAGTGTGCATGAGACCCAAAATGTAATAGGGTTGACTTTCTAAAGGCAAAAAGAATGTGTTCTTTGCAAGGGCATTTTCCTCAGAGCTTCTTAAATGAGGTAAAGCTTCACTTTGCAAAGAATACCCAATCACAGGCAAGGAAAATTAAAAAAATGCATTTTTTCTTGCACATGATTGGATGATGGAAGTCAGCAGAACTTCCCATCATTTACTATTGCACTTGTAAAGTGCACAGTCTATTTCCGTTTTATAAATCAATCTCAATATTTCTCATAAAGAGTGAAAAAGTACTAAACATTCTCTTTAGTAATATAATGTGCACCGGGGCAGACTGACCATTTGAGCACTCAGGCACTGCCCGAGGGCCCGGGATCAGTAGGGGGCCCCATGAGATGCCCCTGGTACCTTTCATTGTCTTTTTCATAGGCTTTTTTGGGTGTGGGTGAGGACACAGGGGCCCCATGATCCCCTATTGCCCGTGGGCCCCATGAGTTGTCAGTCCACCCCTGCACTAAGGTGGTTGGTGGAGCTACAACAGAATCTATGCATTTCCTATTCCTAATAACTATATCTAAATTATTTTGATTATTTATCAACATAAATGTTTTTAGGCACATTATAATAAACTCAAAATATGATGGTATGGTCAATTTCTCAACAAGGATTCACTACTAAGAACATCTTAGTATACTGTATATGTACTTTGTGTATTAAATCTTATCTCAAGGCATAAGAATAACTATCTTATTGCAATGGACTCTTTCTAGCTAAAGGCTGCCATACATGGTTTGAATTTTGAGACGTTCGTGCTGAATTGGTCCAACTTCAAGCTATGAGTGTCCCTGTCGGCACCACCTGGCTCAACAAAGGTTGACTGAACAATCAACATTTGTTGGTGGGTCCAAGTGGAAAACAATCAGATGCATCCAATCAGATACAGGCACTGTCTAGTTATTCTTACAGCAGCTGGAGGATACAATAGTGTAACTGGAGGAGTTTATTATTATAATTATTACTACTACTACAGATACTTGTATAGCGCTGATAATGTACACAACTTCATGCTATGAGTGTCCCTGTCGGCACCACCAGGCTCAACAAAGGTTGACTGAACAATCAACATTTGTTGAAGGGTCCAAGTGGAAAACAATCAGATGCATCCAATCAGATACAGGCACTGTCTAGGTATTCTTACAGCAGCTGGAGGATACGATAGTGTAATTGGAGGAAATTTATTATTATAATTATTACTACTACTACGGATACTTGTATAGCGCTGATAATGTACACAGCGCTTTTACATAAATATATTATACATTCACATCAGTCCTTAACCATCGAGGAGATTAAAATCTAAGCTCCCTAACTCACATTCATACATATTGTACATACACATACTAGGGCCAAAGTAGACTGGAGCCAATTAACCTATTAGCATGTCTTTGGGGTGTTGGAGGAAACCAGAGTACCCAGAAGAAACTCATGTAGGCACACAAATAACATTAGATTTCTATTGTTCAACCCATCAATTATCACACTAGGATTGCTTATTAGGATGCGTCTCACCATAATTGGATTTAGCTGGAAGAGCTTTGAGTGCTTCATGTCCCGCCCTAATATGGCCTACCCATAAACACTGATACCATATCCTTTTGGTAGGTTTCTTTTGGATATACCAGGATTACCAACTTAACTCTTTACAACGGCTACTATTTACTGAAATCAGAATTTTCTTCTATTTAGAGTTTTTATCAGGTGTCTGATCTGTCTGTGGGTCCCCCATACCCTCCAGGGGTAGAATGTGGCTTCCTGGACTCTAGCTTGGGGCATATCGGTCCAATCTCTAACCCTGCAAGCCATTTAGATCCCTGCCCAGTGGTAGGGTTTTCTTGATATATACAGTATGTATTATGCATGTAATATATTGTCTTGTTTTTTCTGTAGATGTTTTTTCATGTAAAAATACCTCAACTGCGAAAAGGCTTTCTAATGCGTCTTTGTTGTATTTATTCTATGGCATCTGTTGATAGATCAAGTAAAAGATTGTGATAAACCAATTATGAATATATAATGCATGGGTATGGCTTTACAGTTCATATGGGAATCCGTGTAAATATGACTGAGTTTATGTTGTTTTTAATAGAAAATGTTTTTTTTTTAATTAAAAAAAGTTTTGTTTTGATATAATTGTTTTTTTGTGTATGGTTAGTTCACCAGCACCAAGAAAGTCCTACTCCCTCAAATATTGTATTTTTCAGCTTTAACCAAAGAGATAGATTGCCATCAAACTGCATGACATGCAGAGACTTCACCATTGGTTATATAAGTAGGCAGTGCTGATTGCTCATTCATAATGGTAAAGGATCATTCAGCACTGCAGGCTGTTTGTCTATCTGCAACTGCTTGTAAACATATACAACCATGGCAGATAGATCACACTTCTCCATAGAAAGACACACAGCCTGTAGCGCTGAATGATCTGTTGTGAATGGCAGTATTGACAAAAATCAACCCCGTTAACAGAGTCCTGAATAGTCACTCACAATTATGTATCCTTGCTAGTGGTGTGATCAAAAAAGGGTGCACGTGCGCCACCCTACCCGTGCCACCATTGGTGTCTGTGGATGTCAATCACCGAGTCTCGGCTGGAGATTTCCCGCTGGCACCCAGTGATCGCTGATTAAAGTTGATAGGAGAGACCTGTGTATACACAACACAGGTCTCTCTCCTGCCAGCAAGGACATGCTGCTTTGTATTTTTCTGCACAGCATGTCTCCGTAGTAAAACAGCACACAGCACACATAGTAAAAGAGCAAACAGTTAATCCTTTGATCGCCTAAAGCTTAACCCCTTCCTGCCCAGTGTCATTAGTACAGTTTCAGTGCTTTTTTTATTAGCACTGCTCACAGTATTAGTGTCACTGGGGATGTCAGTGGCAGTTAGTCAGTTCTCACTCAGTGTCAGAATGCCAGCCGCAATCTTGCTATAAGTTGCTGATAGCTGCCATTACTAGTATTAAAAAAAAAATTCCAGTATATATACTACCATTTGTAGACACTATAACTTTCACGTAAACAAATTAATTTACATATATTGGGATTTTTCTTATCAAAGACATGTAGCAGAATACATTTTGGCCTAAATTTCTGATGAAATTAGATTTTTTTTTATTTTTGTATTGGATATGTTTTATAGCAAAAAGAAAAAATATTGTTCTTTTTCAAAATTGCCAGTTTTTTTGTTTATAGCACAAAATATAAAAAATGCAGAGGTGATCAAATACCACCAAAAGAAAGCTCTATTTGTGGGGAAAAAAAGGACATACATTTCATTTATATA